TTTTTGCTGCACATTAAAGCTGATTTTGGCATTCATTCACACATTCTCCAATTACTGATATTTTATCATGTTGCCAACTCTACTGCTGCTTCAGCAGTTGCCAGCAGCTACAAACTCAGTAGGGTGCTACTCCATGCGAGTCCAATTATCGAGTGATAAGTGCAAGCCCATGGCATACTGCCCCAGCTAGCTTTATTGACTACAGCACGAGAGATGCCAAAACACCGTGAATGCTTGAGTGCACGGGTGCCTGAGAAGGTCATAGGAAAGTGACTGATTTTCTGCTATTAGGATGCAACAACCCCCACAATGACTTCCAGATACTGAGCAATTCCAATACTTCATTCAGCTAAAGGTTCTAGAGTAGGCGGGTCAATGTGATTGGGCCTGGGGTGGGGTGGGGGTGGGACTCTGATTTGCAATTAGGGCTATAGTGCCACACACTATCAGCTGTAAAAGCCCACATATGTCTTGTGTAAACCAGGAGTTCAGTTATTCCCAGGAACTCTCCACCATACAAAGCTCAGGGATGAAAACCCTCAGCTTTGAAAGCTGAATCTTAGGAAGGGCTGTCAGTTCAGGGAGCTTTTTAATGAGAGATGTGGGCTCTGTGTTCACATCCAAGAGCTTATGCTTATTTGGTGTTCCTGCATTTGGGAGAAAAAAAAGAGAACCAGGTATTGTGTCTTCAGTTCAAGAGGGAGAAGTCTAATTTTGCTGATTCTTTTGGGCCCCAGTCTTGCATCAGAAAGGGCAGCCAACTTGGGTTTTGCCTTAATCACCTGGAAAATGTATGAACTAGAACAGTGCAGTGTTTCAAAATAGCCAGAAGATGGCAACCTGGGCCCGTATCAGGCTCAGGGAATTAAGACATTAAATATTTGACTTTTGTGGGTGTAAGCAGATGTCCCATTTCTCCCCTGAGAGAGCCTTTTGTCCTGGGATCCTACAGAGTACAGACCCAGTGTCCCATTTTATGTACCTGTGAAGTAACAAGATAAAATGTGCTGCTGCTTTTTTTTCCCCTGGGACAGTGCTGCATACTCAACTAATTGTGGCTCATTCAAGTTAATTGCCATTTTTTCCAGGGACAAGCCTGTCAGCAACACAGCTTGGAAGGGCTATGTGTGTAAAGGGCTATGCTGCTTCTCTTTTGTCCCAGATTTTTGGCTGGGATCAATCAAATAAGACATCTGTTTATAGCCCACTAGAAGATCTTCTGGAGCTAAGCACTTTTTTACAAAGGTATCTTTGATGCTGTGTGCTGTGCAGCTCCAACAGTGCAGCTGTTTTGCTGTTTTCAGGGAGTTAGTGAATTCTTTTCATGGAAGGGAGCTAGGATGTGGCCACTATTACACATGGTGGCAGCCCAGAGGTCACAAGTTTGAGGCCATAGCAGAAGCACTCATGGTGCAACTGTGTCAGATTGCAATGAATCTGCAAATTCTGCTAAATGCCTCATCATCAAAAGGAAGGGTGAAAGGGAGGGTGTGGTTGTACTAGTTTAGAGTGAAGTTAGGACAGGCTAGTGCTGCGAAAGTTTCCTTTTCTGCTTATTGCCACAGATTTGCACCTAGGTCTGGTCCCCAGAGAGGCAGAGATGGGATTTAGACACATGACTGCCATGTAGGTGGCCAAGTCCAAAATTTAGATCCTCAGTGGGTGCATCTACATATTCATTAATGTGTAGTAGTTACTGTGCATTTAGTTTAGTATTTGCTTAATGAAATACAGGCAGTCCTCAGACTTGCAATACAATTGGTTCCTGAAAACCACATCTTAAGTTGAAATGTAACTTGGAACTGATTTTCCCATAGTAAACAATGTTATAAATGCGGGATTGGTTCCTGAACCAAGGCCCAATACCCTGTTTTCAACAAAAATAACCCAGAATGTTGTACTCGATCAGTTATAGATGAGTAATATAGCTACATTAATGTATTTATATTGTAAATAGCAATCATATTGATTTGGAAGGACTTTTTTTAGGAGACTTTGCTGGACGTTTTGAAGGGCTCTTGGTTGGACTTTTTGAAGGGTTCTTGGCTGGAGTCTTCTCAGGAGTCTTGCTACAGGTTTTTCTGGAGTCTTGTCTGCTTTCTTAAAGAAAATGTCCAAGGAAGTTTGGACAGATGTTCTCCAGGGAGATGCGTGACGCAGCGAACTTGTTCGCTGGCGTGGCTTGGCATCAGATCAAGTGTTGTAAAGTCGAAACTGACATCAGGGTGTCTCTAAACTTGTAAGTGCGAAATGTAACTGGAAATGTAAATCGAGGACTGCCTGTACTAACTAAATATACAATAACGACAGTTACTGTGCAGTAGTGCCAGTGCATGTTTTTTTGTGATGCTTACTGCACAGTAGCCTAACGACACTGCAAAAACTGTGCAAATATGCTACTGTGACCAGCACACTACCGTGCGGAGTTATTAGGCTACTGCGCAGTAAAAATCTCGTGTAGATGCACACAGTGTCTCTGTTCATATGATCTAATCCAGGCTACAATTAAGATCCTCACTGTACTAAGGAACCCCACATAGAAAAACATTCTGTGCACCTTAAATAACATAGGGCAGAAGCCTAACCTTTCTCTTTCCCAACTGGCTTTTATTTTTCCTGTGAGCAGCGTTTGTCTGCATTTATTAACAAAGAAACATCATTTGTCTGCATTTATTAACAAAGAAACACCATTAGAGTAAACTGCCAAAGACTAACTCCTCTGTGACCTGCAACTGTTTCCAACCAGTAAGAATTTAACATTCCTATTTACTGATGTCTACAAATATCTGTCTGCTCTAGGGCTAGGGAGATGATATAAAAAGATTTTCCCAAACAAATGCATGGTAGAGACACTGAAGTTTTCACAGGCATTTTTGGTTTTCTAAAAATACATTTATTTTGAAAACATTTGTTTTCCTCTTGCATGAATGGTGCAGAAAAAAAAGCTGAGGGTGGAATGCAGACAAGGCTCTTGTCCTAAGTGCCTGAGCAGAGTTATCTAAAGGAGCCAAAGGCCCAGGGAATCCCAGTGAAGTGAGTAACAATGTATCGGACATTGCCTTATCATCTGTCTGCAAGTGCAGTCTGCTGGTTACAGTGTGTAACATGATCTCTGGGCCCACTCCACAGTAGGTATGAGCCTGCTGAAGCTCAAGCTATAGTTGCTTTTGCTTTATGGATGTCCTCAGTTCAGTCCCCTGTTTTGCTAGCAGCTCCCTGATCTTTGCTGCCAGTGGCTAGAGATGAGTCCAAGTCTGGAAGCATGAACCTAGTTCTGAGCATCTTAGAGCAAGATTGTATGCAGGGGTGAGGAGTTGTGGCTTTTTTTTGCATGCTGCCCATTATATAAATAGGGTTCAGCCATGAAGTTTTGATTCAAACTTCCCCTAAATTGGGAAGGTTTGGATTGGAGGTTGTGGTTCGATATGCAGGCAAAACCATTTATTTCCCTGCTACCTCTTGTGCGTGCAGGCTTGAGTAACCTTACTGAAAACATTTCCCAGAATGCCTTTCTGAGATGAAGCCTTTCAATTTGGCTGAGAAAAACAGCTGCGGCCTTAAAGTAGCTTTGTTATAATCTGGTGCTGCTGCCTGCATCTCCCTCTCTGCTGGTTGGTAAGTATTTTTACCTCTGATTACATTTTCCCTTAATTTTGCCTGTCTTATTCCTGAGAATAATGGCACATTCTAGAAAGGTTCAGTATTGTTGTGTCTGAGCAGTAGCAACCAACAAGTAGGCAGTTTTTCTACCTGTGGAAGTGGGACACTTAGAAAAAAAACCTGTTTTACCCTGGGGATTGTGTGGATGAAGAAGACTGCAAAATCCCGCTCTTTTGCTAAATAGGCCTAGCTCCAGTCAGGAGCTAGGACATGGACCTGAGCACTAGAACTGTTCATGGAGCTGGGTCTGAGCTCCCCTTAAAGCATTTTAAATGCAAATTTCAAGCTCACCCTAGGCTTGATTTTGGGTGAGGCAGGGTCACCATTTTTTTTAAATGGAAGTGAAATGTCACCAAGGCTAGGGACAGACATTCAAAAAGCCTGAACCTGAATTCATTCAATCTTTGCAGGTTAGTCTAACCTGGCTAGGCTGAACCAGTTTGTAACTGGACAGAGATTCTCTCTGGACTGAGGAAATGCTGGTACATGCCTACAGTGGCTCAGGCTAGAAGCCGGGGGTGCAGATTAGCCCCCCTTCCCTTATATAATGCTGAACTGAGGGGGGTGTGGCCGGTGCTTGGGCAGGACCTCTGATTAGGGAGGTCTGCCTGCACCATCCCAGGCTTTTTCCTGCTTGCTGCTCAAAGGGTGCGAGTGTTGCCAGACCCCAGCCTTCTGCTAGCACTCTGAAGCAAGGGGGGAAGGTGCAGTACATGCATTTATTGATGATACGGAGCTTTTCAATCTCCCTCCCTGATTCTTTATATGGTCTGCAGGGGGCTGATAACAGTGTTTATCACCCCATCAGAAAAACAATAGCCCCTCTCCATTACTTAAAACTCTTCTTAAACAGCTTACCAGCTGACCTGTTGATTAGCTCCAAACAGCTCTAAGCAGTCACTGTTCTGTCTGCCGGTCCCAGTGAAATTGGAGACACACACACACGTCTTCATTAGCTAGCATACCACATGCCTAGGGTCCGTGGGGCTGAGGTCCCTGCTGTGGGAGATGGGAGGGAGGGATTTTCTGCTTCAGCAGAGAGGGGGAAGGGGAAGGAAGGGGGAGGGGAGGAGGAAGCCAGGCAGACCCTGCTGTGCCTGCAAGTCTCTGCTGGAGCTCCAGCCAGGGAGCAGAGGGGAGGGGCCAGCTGTGCTGTGTAGCAGAGAGCCTCACCTATCCCAGGGAGCATGCTGGGATGCTGGGGGAGTCTGGTTTATCTTAAATCAGCAAGGACAGACATTGCATAAAATGGGTTGAGCCAAATCAGTTAAGTCTGATACCACATTCAACAAGGTTTATCTCAGACTGGTTTAAGCCATTTCAAACTGGTTTATGTGCAGTGAACATCTGTTCTGTTACAGGTTTAAACCAGTTTCTGATCACTTAAACTGGTTTATATGTAATGTCTGTCCCGAGCCCAAGTGAGATCTTTGAAAGGGCCTAAGTGGTGAGAACTCTGGGGTTGAGATCCCAACAACACAAGTGAACAGCAATCCCAGTGATGGGATTATATTACATCACCATTATCTCAAAGTTGGACAAAATGGGCCATGCTGTGAGGGTACAGAACAAAACACTCGGTCCATAAGCAGCTCCCTGACTCTTCCTTCTTTCCCACGCACCCATCCGCTAGGAATGGTTTCCTAGAGGGAGCATGGAAGACCTGTTTTGCTGCAGATGAGGCTAGTACCTTTGAGCCTGCCATGCTGGTGGTTGCAGTGTGGCAGGCTCTACCAGCACTTGTCTGGGTTGGTGTGTATTATTTCTTCCTCTCTGAACTGCCTGGTCAGTTTGCTTTGGAGAGTAAAAATAAGAGAACAAAAAGTTTCCAATGGAGCCTTTAAAGTGAAACTGTTTGGCTCTTGCATTACCTTAGTGCAAAAAACAGATACAGTGAAGCTTCCTGACACTCCAACTATTTGCAAAACATGTCAGTGAGGCTTCAACAGACCTTGCTGATAACTGCAATAGCGGACTAGGGAGAGGTCAGGCTGGTTCCTTAGGAAATAGGCTTGGCAGTCTGAGTATGCTTATGTGGAACAGGGGCAAGGTTAGCTGGGATGGAGTGAGCTGCCTTAACTCATGAGAAAGGGGAGTCTATCAGATCTTAAAGTTCTGGTGAGGACAGTCTCTCATTGGGGTGAGCAGTGTGGGACCAAAGCTTTAGTGGGCAAAGAAGTGAAGTATATGTGGATTACATGTCATTTAACTTCATCCCCCATTTATCCTAGACTCAGCTGCCCTTACAGTGACAGAATGAAATGCACTCAAAACCAGCAGCTCAGCTGAGTGCTAGGGGGTCTGTGTGTGTGCGTGTGTGCGTGTGCGTGTGTGTGTGTGTGCACGTGCACACATGTGCACACATGGACATGCACATGCATGTCTCTGTATGCGAGAGTGGGGCATGCCCTGAGTTATTGCCTGGAGCCAGTTTTCTGTAGATCTCAGTGATAAGTGTGGGCCTTTGGTCCAAGAGTTAACCGTTTCTAGTAGTCACTAGATAAATTAATGCTGTAGACGTGCTTCCACATGGAGTCTCTTCTCTCAGTGTACCATGGAAATGAAGCCACCTCAACCCCAGCATGATGAGCTCTTAAAAGACCAGTTTTAAACGGGATTCTCAATGTCCACGTAGAGTTTTCAGTCCTGTATGATGCCACATCTGTTCTGTTCTTGCCTGCCTTTGTCCTGTGCGGCAATGTCATTTTCTGCTTTGCTGTCTTGGGGTCTATAAGGTTGGATCGGGTTACTGCATTTGCTAGGAAAGTCCTGTGATGGATAGAAAATTTCTCTTTTGGAGCAGCAAAACTGTTACCTGCCATTGATTTGGGGGAAGAATATTTCTCATTCTGATATGATTGTATGCTCATCTCCTCTTGTACCTCTAAGCCAGGGTGGTATCTCCGTTTAGTCTGCTTTGATACTTATGTATTACCCATACAAGCATGCAGGCTTGTCCTGTGTACTTTACACATGCCTCAGTTTGTAGAGGGGAGTTCAAGATGTACTAGATTTCAGGTGCATGTGTGAATGCATGAATTTATATACCACCTTTTATACATATTAGTACACATGACTATATTTATGTGCGTCATACACATGAAGGCACATGACCTTGTGCATGGGTTTCTGCATGCACGTGACAGCAGGCATGTTTATGTGTGAGCATATGTACATCTTTATGCACGTGAAGCTGCACAGCCATGTCCTCATGAATATGTGAGTGCTTATACATGGAAGTGCATGTATGTCACTGCATGTGTGTGTGTGTGTGCGCGCATATGTCCTTGTACACACTGCTGGCATATAAACATATGCCCAACTTTATGTCTTCTGTTTATCATCTTAGTGATCTTGCCAGAGTCTGGCTTGCCCTGGAAATCCTATTTAGTCTAGAGTCATTATTAAAGGGTAAAAGAGCCATTGCTGTAGCTCCTTCCCCTCACAGTGCATGGCCTGAAGGACTCACCGGGTCTTGAGGAGGAGTGTCCTCTCTCTTTCCCATTATTTAGACTGGCAGTGATGGCCTCTTGTCCAACAGGAGCAGCTTGGGCTGAGCTGAGATCCACAGGTCATCTTCATCCTTCTTCTTCTTCCTCTTCTTGTTCTTTTCTGCTTGGACTTGCCCATTGCTGCTGCTGCCACCTCCATTGCTGCTGCTTTTGCCCCTTTGGCTACAGAAGCAGCAGTGACAACAGATGAAGAGGAAGACCAACAGGACGATTAAGGGCAGCCCAGTCAGCACTGCCAGGCAGACTGTGTTGAAGATGCCCTCCTGGTGCTTGCTGAGAATGAGATCCCAGATTGACTGGAAGAAAGAGCGGATCTGCTCCATGGTGGCTTGCTGGCTGGGCTCCTGTTCTGCCTGCCCTCAGAGTCCCCTGGGGATATATTCAAGCCCTGGTTGGTAGTCGACAGGATTCAGAAGCTCTTTGGACCAGCACCTGTGAGGACATAGAAAATAACCAGAAATCAGAAGGCAGGCCTAGGCCAATCAGCATGTCCTCCATATTGCTTGGCCACACCAGCTGCAGTCCAGTCTGCTGAGCCTAAGTTGTGTGTAGGGCTAGGACCAGGAATGCAACTCATGCCTCTGGTATGGCAGTAGTGAATCCTAAGTGTAGGTTTAAATAAAATAACTAGAAACTTGATGTTTGCATGTGGTTTCTTCCAGTTTGGGGCACTTATGGATGTGGGCTTTTGTTATGGGCTCAGCTCTAAGAAGGACTTTTAACTAGCTTGAATAGCCTTTCTTCTCTTGTTAGTCTCCCATTTCACACATCTCTGTATTTCTGGTTTGCAGCAAAACACAAAAAAGGATGATCTCAGATTTTCATCCCTAAGATGAAAAGATAATTTTCCCAATGTTTGGGTGTTTTTTTCAGACTGGCTTTTCATAAGACTTGAAGTTTTCTCATACTATATTGAGTACAAGGCTGTATGTTATACAGGACACTGCTTGCCAGGAAAAGGTGTTGGACATGGCAGTAGCTGGTTTAATGGTAGATGATACAGACTAGAACAATGGTAGACAATGCAATGGTAGACAAAGCTATTTGTTCCTTGCTTTTATAATGACAGGATCCCTTTCAGACAATTTTAGGCCCAGGGGAAGGTGCCAGTTTTGTTCAGATTCTTCTACTACCCTCACCACCACACTGTGTTAGCACCTTTCAGTTGCTCATTAAATGGTGTGACTAACATCTGTCACATCTGGTTCATACTCTTATCTTCTTCCCAGAGGAAAACTGTGCATTCAGTGCAGTGTTTATCTTACTTTTTTCCCTCCTTCTTCCCCACCTTTCTCTCCCCTAGTGCCCCAATTACATTGCTCTGTGTGTGTTAGAGAAATGCCCTTGGCATGGAAGGTGGTGACATTTGTGAGGAATGCCTAGACTTGTGCGTGCGTGTGTGGTGATGGTGGGGGGTTTGTTTGTTTGCTGAGGTTTTTTGGGTTTTTTGCTCTATACAATCAGTCATCAACATTTTGGAGATGTGGGCTTGGAACAGCCTGGCTTGGATCCAAGGCAGGGCAGTGTTCTGACCCAGTTGCCACTTTTTCCTGCCAATGCTTCTCCTCACCCCTGGCTGTGGCATGAGTGCAGCTGCTTGCTGCCCAGCCTGGTGTGGCCATGGGTGAAGCTGCCTGTTGCTGGAACACCACCAAAGCCCACCTAGATCTGTACATCCTATGGTTTTGACCCCTGCCTTATATGTAGAAGAATCCAGACAGCATCCCCCACTGCTCATGGAGGCATGATAAGCAAGACAGCTTTTTGTGAAACCTGACTGCAGTCTACAAACTCCTACCAATGGTTGGTTCTCCACTGAAGCTGTGACAGTATCTTCTGTAACAAGGACATCTTTCCACTAGAAAAAGAGCCGACACCTCCAGCATATAGACTACCCGACAGCTTTCAGATAGTAACACTGGTCAGCTTTTGCTACCTGGACTTAGGTTGGAATTTATGACCCTCAGGTTTGCACGTAAAACTTGAAAGGCTCCATTCACTAGTACTAGTCCCCTCCTCACATAAGTACAGATTTTATTTGAATATTTCTCACAGTTCGTGTCCCCTGTGTTGTAGACAATGACTCATGGATCAAACATTTTTCAAAATGAAAGTCAGCTCCATGACATTCCTCTGGCTGTGGGTATAAGCCACATAGCATCGTATTCATGGTAGCGTCACAGACCACTTCCTCCTTCTCAGTAATTTACATGCTCCTGGCTCTTCCTGGTACAGCTGTGTTACCTTTGGTCATTAGCATAGTGTTTGCTCTGGGCTATAGCCAAGCTCCCATCTAATCCATCAGGCTGGCTTCAAAGTGATTCTACAGGTGCTATAGCTTCATCATAATTGGTCCCTGAGATCCCAGCAGGATGTACAAGCAGGTTTTGTGGGTCAGCACAATCCCAGGCCCTAACGAATTGTGGCTTAGGTTTATCTCCCCACTTTTCCTACTGCTAGTCTGCCTTACCTTGGCTTAACCTTGTAGGTTGCTTTGCTTTATGGAAGGCTGCTCTAACTAGAGATGACAGGGGCAGGATGGTGCAAGACAGTCTTTCTGGTTCACACTGAGGTTGGCTGTGACTGAACACTGCTGTCCTCTGATGCCTGTCTGATTGTAGGAGATGAGGGTAGTGACAGATGCCTGTGTCACAGCAACTATACCTGGCTCTGGTTGGCAGGCTTAGGGGGCAAGAGATGGGCTATGTGGACTGAATTCTACTTTAATGCTGGGCATAGCAAGTCCTGGATGAGGTATGTATGTCCTGGCCAAAAGCTCACTGAAACTGAGGACATCTTTCTATAGCCTTTAAAGAGCTTTGGATGGGAGCTTTGCTGGTCTCCATGGGTACTGGTGAGAAACGTTTCACCCGGAGCATGAGTCACACCACCAAGAGTCAGGAGCACATGCACTGTGATGAGTATCTTTGGCTGGGGTCAGTCTGATGACTGATGAAGCTGCCTCCCTGACTCATTTAGTGATTGCTGTAAGAGGTGGGTAGGGCTGAGGAGCATTTTTGCTGTGTGATATAAGCCTTTCTTCCGTGCACGGGGAGGGAGTGCTGCTGCTGAGTTTCAAATTACCTGAGGGAAACCCTCCTGCAGATGTCTTTCACTATGATAAAAGGGCAGGTTTTGCCAGGAACCCCACAAAGCCCTTTGAGATGCTGCACGCTGTCATTTAAATGATCTGAAAATGTTGAGCCACTCCCACTGAGGTGACTAGGTTAAGGATTAGGCAGAGTGTCTGCTGGGAGCCACCAGCAGGTGATGTATGGTTTGCAACACAATTATTGCATAGTTTTTTTTCTGATGCCCTCACTGCTTTTTCTGAAAGAATGATTCAAGCCCCGCAGACTCTTGGTCAAATATTAGGACTCCCATTTTACAGGGGGAGGTAGGCCCACTTTTTCAGAGGTGTGTAAACTTTTAGCCCAAATCCAGAGCCTTCGATGGATGGTAGCAGATCCTTAGTTATCACTAATAAGTATGACCAGACCTTGCACACACCAGAGGTCTGCAGCTGACACAGGAACAGAACCCAGATATCAGAACTTCCCTCATGTGACAGTGACTGCTAACTTTCCTTCTTTTGTGTCAGTTTTCACTAAAAGGGATTACCAGGAACTGCAGGCTTTTTTTTTTTTTAAAGGACCCAGATTAATTGCTACTTTTCCCTGATGTGCATCATACTTATTGTCTTCTTATCCTCTTACTGTTCTGCATAAACAAAGACCTCTTGTGCAAAAATGTTAATGTCTCTTGGATGCTTGGTGATAGCTGTGACGGCCCCCAGTGGGTGGGTACTACATCTTGCCCAGCCCACCTGGTACACATTCCCTAGTCTTGACTTGCAGTTGTATCTCATGTTTTAACAATCAACAAAACAGGTCTGTTCTTTTAATTAGATTGACTTTGTATGTTTGCCTGTCCCAGGATTTTAGTCATCTGTTCAACTGCTGAGAGGATGTGGGCTTCCTGAAGGAGGTGTTAACCGGTCACACATCATGCTCACATCTAAAGCAAGACTGCCTGCCAGGTGGGGCATATGTGTGAATTGGACTGCCCGGGCCAATCTGCTGCTTGTGCTATTTGTCATATGCATACCACAAGTTGGCCACCCCTAGTCTACACCATGGGCTTTGCTGGGATGTGCTAATTGGCTGGTATGTATTGTGACTTTTTTCTACATCCCAACTGATGTAGTTGTGTCAGCCAAACCTTATCTTGTAGACTTCTCCTGTGATGAACTTTAACTTTTTTTGGTTAGTGTCCCTTGCTTCCTAGGTGATTAGTCTCCCTCTATCCCTTTAACAGCATACAGGGCAATGCAAAATGCCCTGTGCTGCTTTGTCAGCTATTAATGAATATCACTGCCACTGAATCCTGGCCCAAAGCCTCATGTCACAAGTCTGGTGTAGACTCAGCTCTAAGATGGCAATTGATGCTCTGGCAGTGCATTCTACAGGCAGTAGGACAGAAGGACAAAAATAGGAGGCACAGATGGCATGGGTAGGAGGCAGGAACATCTGTCCCTGGCACCCTCCCTGACCTGTGAGTGGCCTGCTTGCTCACATCCAGAGTTGTCTGTTAAGAGTTGGTGCAATGGATGATGTCAACCCAATCCGATCTGCTTGTACTAAATACTTTGTGTTTGCTATATGCATGTTCATTTCTTACTGCTTTATTTGTATGTCTGTCCAGATGAGGCTAGGATCAACAACAGAAAACCAGGAGGGGAGGCTCTTGGGGAGAATGGTGTAGTGGCTGTGGCCCAGGCCTGGGAGACAGGAGTAGCTCAGGTTCCATACCCTTCTCTGCCATTGACTAGTTTGATCCTGTTTGGTAACTCCATTTCCCCCATCTGTAAAGTGACACTGACCTTTAGTTTTCTACCTCCCCAGGGGGACTGTGAAGTTTCCTTCACTAACATTTTAAGACTGGCTATAATGAAAGTTTTCATTTGTTGTATTGATGAAACATATGACTGCTTGACTTGGGGCCATACCTCAGCCTATGCTGCCTCCAAAAGTGAATATATCCCTGTATAGTACAGTATGATGCTGAGCGCCTGACTGAGCAGTAACACTTCTGGGTGGTGTTTCCTATGTCAGCATCGTTCTAAGTGGTGTCCCTATATACTTAAGCATCCAAAAGCAGGCTGAGGTTTGTGGGTATCCGTGGCAAAAATGCTTTCTGTCTCCATTAAATGACTTTAGCCCCAAGCCCCTCTGTCACAGAGGGAAAGGATCTGTCACACTGCAGGCAAGGCAGGAGCTGTACATTGCTCTGTTGCCATCAGAGCACAGCTACAAGGGGTTAAATATTATTTGATGAGTAAAGTAAGATTTTTAAAAAAGAAGGTGAATCAGGCCTGCATCCAAATCCTTGGCTTTCCAGCCTTGTGTGCTGCCAAGCAGAGTGACTGTAGC